GCCTTGAACTCACTGATCCACCTGCCTCTGCCTCCCAGTGCTAGGACTAAAGGCTTTTGCCACAACCTTCCAGAAGGCTAGGATTAAAGGTGTGTGTGCCACCATTTTTCTGGCCTCTATGTCTGTGTAGTGGCTGTTCTGTTCTCTGACCCCAGATAAATTTATTAGGGTGCATGATATATTGGGGAATACAATATCACCACACTTTTTCTTTTCTTTTTCTTTGAGACAGAGTTTCTCTGTGTAGCCTTGGCTATCTTGGATCTCGCTCTGTAGACCAGGCTGGCCTCAAACTCAAGAGATCCACCTGCCTCTGCCTCCCAAGTACTGGGATTAAAGGCATGTGCCACCACTGCCTGGTGAAAAACCTTATCTAAAGAGGCAGTAACTAGTTAAAAAAAATCCTAAGAATTTGTATATTCATAGACAGACACACAGACATACATACATACATACATACATACATACATACATACATACAGACACACACACACACACACACACACCCCTACCTTAATTTCAATATACAATAAGATGTTTTAAAATATGTTTAATTTTATGTATGTGAGTCTGTATGTACATGGTAGTACAGGTGTCTAGAGGTCAGAGGCATTGGATCTCTCTGGAGCTCGAGTTACAGGCAGTTGGTGCTTTGAACCATATCAGATCCTCTGCAAGAACAGATTAACTTCTGAGTCATCTTTCTAGCCCCATCCTGGAACTCCCTCTAGATTAGGCTGGCCTTGAACTCCGATTCATCTGGGGGGAGGGGGAAAGACCAGTGCTGGGATTAGAGGCATGTAGCACCATGATTCAGCCCTGTTAAGTTTAAAAAAAACAATGTGTAATGGCCACAAATTATCTTAGTTATTCTCAGGAAATTTAGCAGCAGTTTTGTTCACAATGTTTCTTAATTAAAAAAATTTTTTCCTTTTAGGTTCAGGCATGGTGGTACAAACCTTCAATCCCAGCACTGGGAGGCAGAAACAGGCAGATTTCTGAGTTTCAGGCCTGTCTGGCCTACAGAAGGGAGTTCCAGGACAGCCTGGGCAACATAGAGAAACTCTGTCTGAAAAAAAAAAAAAGGTTTTATGTGTATGGGTATTTTTGCCTGCATGTATGCCTGTATACATCACGTGAATGCCTGGTGCCCACAGATGCCAGAAGAGGGCATCTGAAGTCCTGGAACTTCAGTTATTGATGATTGAATCACCAAGTGGATATCTGGAATCTAACCCATGTTCTCTGGAAGAGCAGCTAGTGCTCTTAACTGCTGAGCCACCTGGACAAGTACTCTACCACTGAGTTATCTTCCAAGTCCCTGCCCATGCTGTTTTAGACTCACAGTGATGCATTAAAAAACTTCAAATACATGAAATGAAAACAATGAACATATATGACACAATTACAGCAAATCAGCATATTCAGTAAAAACAAAGTAGAAAGTTTTCTCTCTCTCTGAAATGTGGGAAAGGACCAATAAAAGTAAGATAAAAGCTGTAGCTTGTTACACTGGCTTGAGTCTGTCTCCGTTTTAGAGCTAATTAAAGAGAAAAAGATGCCTTTACACATGGAAAGTATTTTTAATGATTTATTTTTTTCATGTATATTGGTTTGCCTGTATGAGAGTGTTAGATAGATTCCTTGGAACAGGAGTTACAGACAGTTGTGAACTGCCATGTGGGTACTGGGAATTGAACCCGCGTCCTCTGGAAGAACAGCCAGTGCTTTTAACCACTGAGCCATTTCTCCAGCTCCCACATGGAAATTTTTAATATACTTTCTCTCCTTCAGACCTTAGCAGTTTTTGATATTCTGTTTTATTCTATGTGGAGACAAAGAATGAAGAAGTAAGGTTAGAGAAAGGTAGGTTGGAGTAGGAGGCTAAGACCGTTAGATACTAAGCATTTATCTTTAGTTATGGCGTAACCTTCAAAGCTTTCTTCCTTTGTTTTCCTTCCCTTTTTTGTGGGGGTGGTTTTTTTGTTTTTTTTTTTTTTTGAGACAGGGTTTCTCTGTGTAGTCCTGACTGTCCTGGACTTTACTCTGTAGACCAGGCTGGCCTCGACCTCAGAGATTATCCTGCCTCTGCCTCCTTCAGCAAATCCTATCAGTGCGAGACACCACAACTGGCTTTTTAGGTAATTTTTAACATCTCTTAACCTAGGTGAAAAAAAAAAAAAAAAACAACAACAAAACTCTTGGGGCTGGAGAGATGGAAATGAAGCTGGAGAAATGGTTCAAGAGAGCACTGGCTGCTCTTTCAGAGGACCTGGGTTCAATTCCCAGCACCTACATGGAAGCTCACAACTGTCTGTAACTCCGTTTCTAGGCGTTCCAGTACCCCTACACATACATACATGCAAGCAATACATCAATGTACATAAACAGAACTAAATAAACTATAAAAAACCTAAACAAAAAAAAACCCTTTTAATATTTTTGTAAATTACGAGTTTTATTAGTTTTTAGATGCTTTTCAATTAAAATAGATGACCTGTGCACGATAACAAAATAGCATCAGGAATAAAAACCCCACAAAACCCAACTCAGGAATATCAGTGTTTCCCACTAAGGAAAATCTACAACCAGATTATCCCATTTTTCAAATATGTGCAGCTCAAATCAATACAGTTATTGTATATAAAATCATCTGAAGTACCAACTGGCAGATTTTTTTTCAATAATTTTTTCTTCCTCTGTTTTATACTCAAGATGTTAGCTTTTCTCTACTGACTCGCTCTGTGTTGGATGAAATTTATGTGCTGCCTTTTAGAATAGCTCTCTTATTTCTTGAACCCTAGGGTTGCCTTCCTCCCACTGAATCTTGGGCTTGTCCTGCACACTTCTGGGAACATGAGGAGGCTCAAGACACTGGGTAATTAACCCTTATGTGTATCTTTCTGGGTGAGCCAATGAAGTTCCTTCCATACCTTGAATAGTGGGGTATGTTTTGTTGGTTTTTAGTGTGAGGTAATTACATCTTATGGAGATATTCCCTTGTTCACCCTGTTGGGATGAAAGGGACAAGTATCTCTTCAGCATCCAATGATCAGGCACTCAAAAAACTTCTAAACCAAGAAACATTGTAGTAAGCATAAGTTTGAGAGTAATTCAGGATTAGATTCTAGAGCAGTGGCAGAAGACAAAGACTAGCAAATTAATCACTAAAAGTTCTGAAAGCAAACAAACAAACCGAATCCTCTGAAAACAGACAACCAGAGTGGTTTATCTTAAAACAGGTGCCATGCTTGAGCTGGCTCACTGGGTAAAGGCACTTGCTGCCAAGTCTGATGGCCTGAGTTTATTCTTGGGACTTGTATGATGGAAGAAGAGAGCTGACCCCTGAAAGTTTTCCTTTGATCTCCATATGTTCACAGTGGCACTGGTCTGCCTATTAGGTCTCCTTGTGAGGCCTGGGAATTGAACTCAAGTCCTCTGCAAGAGCAGTAACTGTTCTTAACTGGGGCATCACTCCATATCCTCCCGAAAATGCTGGCAGATTTGGTATCTGGTGAGAGCACTCCTTGATATGTATCTTATGATAGAAGTGGTAATGAGAGAGAGAATAAAAAGAAATAGTAAGTGATAAGACATATCACTTCTGTCTTGATGTATTTGGTTTGCTATCACAAAATACCTTAAACTAGTTAGTTTACAAACAATATAAATGGTTTTTGGTTTTTCCAGATGGGCTTTCTCTGTGTAACAGTCTGGATGGTTGTCCTGGAAATTACTTTGTAGACCAGGCTGGCCTTGAACTCACAGAGATCCTCCTGTCTCTGCCTCCCAAGTGCCAGGATTAAAGGCGTATGCCACCACCACTTGGCTAATATAAATGTATTTTTAACAGTTCTGGAGGCTGGGATGTCTGAGCTCAAAGTGCTGGCAGATTTGGTGTCTGGTGAGAGCACTTCTTGATATGTATCTTATGATAGAAGTGGTAATGAGAGAGAGAATAAAAAGAAATAAGTAAACAGAATTGCAGCCATATCAAAAATATCCTAAGTCATCTTATGAACTGATTCTTTGATTGTTTCCTTTGGCATTTCATGGTTACTATTTTATGTTCTGGTTTCTGATGCAGCTATATTCCTGGGTATTTACCCAGAAGACTTCAAGTTAACTTATCAGAGATCTTTGTACATCAGTGTTTATTGCAATACATTTTGGGCTAGTAAGAGGGATCTGCAAGCAAAGATGCTTACTGCCAAGCCCAATGACCTGAGTTCTAATTTTTTTTTTTTTGGTTTTTCGAGACAGGGTTTCTCTGTGTAGCTTTGCGCTTTTCCTGGAACTCACTTGGTAGTCCAGGCTGGCCTCGAACTCACAGAGATCCGCCTGCCTCTGCCTCCAGAGAACTGGGATTAAAGGCGTGCGCCACCACCGCCCGGCGAGTTCTAATTTTTGTACCCATATAATGGAAAGAAAGAATGGATTCCTGAAAGTTGTCTTATCACCTCCATACATGCATTGTACCATATGCCTATTCCCTTCAGTAACTTGAATAAATGTTTTAAAAAATGGTCACTTTTTTTGTTTTGTTTTTTTGAGACAGAGTTTCTTTCTCTGTGTAGCTTTGGCTGTCCTGGAATGCTCTCTATAGACCAGGCTGGTCTTGAACTCAACAGAGATCTGCCTGCTTCTGCCTCACAAGTGCTGAAAATTCTTACTTTTAAAATTTTATTTTTATTTTATATGTATGGGTATTTTGCCTGCCTGTATGTCTGAGTACCATGTGTATGTCATGCCTGTGGAGGCCAGAAGAGGATATTGGGTCTTCTGGGACTGGAGTTAGAGTTGGTTGTGAGCTGCCATTTGGATGCTGGGAATTAAACCCCTGTCTTCTGGAAGAGCAGCTAATGTTCTCAAGTGATGAGCCATCTTTTTAGCTCTAATGGTACTTTTTAATTAGAATGAATGTTGCATATATGTTTAATATAAAGTTTTTTAGAAAAGATAACTAAAGATTCACGTTTCATTCCTTTTTTTCATTGAAGGATATGGTTACTGGACTTAGTCCCCTGCTCTTCAGGAAGCTTAGTAATCCTGACATATTTTCACCTACTGGAAAAGCTAAACTCCATCGACAACTTAGTCAGGATGACTGTAAATTACGGAGAGGAAGCTTGGCCAGTTCTCTGTCAGGTAAATACCAGACTTGGTTTTTTTAATGGAATGTGGGGAAATGGGTATGTTAGTATGTGGTAGACAGTGTGCTTAGTATGCATAGACCCTGGGTTCAATCTCTAGAACCAAAAAGGGGATGGGGGTTAATTGTGGGACTGTGTTGTTAATATTTAAAGATACATCAATTGCCTTGGCATCTTGACAGCCTCTTCTTTGATAGTCTTGTATAGAATACTGTTGTTTTCTTTCTGCTATTTTACAGATTCTCTGAATGCTAGCCACCTGAACACCTGTTGGCTAACTAGTAATCTTGGCTACTGCCGTTTTTTCTCCTTTTACAACTTTGTAGGTTCATATCCTTCTCACTCCCACTGCCCCTCTGCCCCACTCCCCACCTCCACCCCTGCCTGTACCACTAGAGCTGTGCTGGAAAAATCCAGGGCCTTGTATATGCTCTGCAAGTGCTCTGCCACTGAGCTATAACCCCCGCAAAATCCCATAATTATCTTCCTGTGTCCTCCAAAGAAAAGACAGTTATAAAATCCAAGGTACAAAATTGTAAAAGAAGTCTTGGTTCGGGTAGAAAACAGTTAAGATATAGTATAATTTTAATCAATCTGTAGACTTTGAAAAAAAGGAGTATGGCTAGTAGAGAAGATAAGTAGAGAAGAAAATGTCCTACTGTACTTCTTCTCCAATAGTAAACAGCTCCCAATTCTTTTCTTTTCTTTTTTTTTTTTTTGGTTTTTCGAGACAGGGTTTCTCTGTGTAGCTTTGCGCCTTTCCTGGAACTCACTTGGTAGCCCAGGCTGGCCTCGAACTCACAGAGATCCGCCTGCCTCTGCCTCCCGAGTGCTGGGATTAAAGGCGTGCGCCACCACCGCCCGGCTCAATTCTTTTCTTTCAGTTGCTTTTCAGTGATATTCTCCTTGGCCTTATTGTCTCACTATTGTGCTGTCATTTTTATTTCATCCTTCTGCTTTTATTTTTCATAGAACTCTGCTCAACTTTTAAGAACAGGATCATCTTCTGATTGTCTATGGATAAGTTGAACTTTAAAAAAAACTTACTGATTTGTATATGTGTGTGGTATATGCCATGGGATGTATGTGATTAGAGTACATTTTTTAGGAATTAATTTTCCACCATGATAATCTGGAGGGTCACTGAGGTTATCAGGCTTCGCTGCAAGTGCCTTTACCCCTTGAGCCATTTCAGTAGCCCTATACGAGTTTTGAATTAAGAATTAGAAAAACAAGCTGGATGGTGGTGGCACATGTTTATCTATCTATTTATTTATTTATTTTTTAAATTACACTCATGATATTAATCACATTTGTGGTATTCATAGATTACATTCGCAGTATTCATTCAATTATATATACATATAATTGAAATATATATATTTAATTTTAAATGTCGAATGTCATTTCTTGAAGGGGGTAGGAGGTCTTAAATACAGGCTTACAGCACAATGGGAGGACCCCGGAGGGCAGAAGTTCGCTACTGATGTTTTACAATCTTGCATCTAAGCTGTTAACGCCCATTATTCAGGATACACAGACAAGGAACTTCCCTTAAGCATTCAGGAGGGTGGAACCTGGCAGGGAATTATCATTGGGAGGATATTAAGGTCAAAGTCCGCGAGCAAGGCAACAGTTACCCAAAACAGGGGCCAGGGCCCTGCAGGTCCCCCTTTTATTAAAAAATGAGCTTCTGACTTGGGTTGCGTAGGACGTCAGCAGGTCACCTTACCCATTATGGAGACATCTGCCCAGGCCACACAGGTGCTCTGTCTTAGGTTGGTGAGTGCCCCCCAGGCATTACCCATCTCTGAATACTCATTATCATACTGGCTTAATTGTGTGTGAGCTGCATGGTTAATTGCTGCCAAAGATCTCAAAGTGGCACTGGGCTTGCAATCTGTGTGTTTGATACAGAAAAGACCAACAGAGGTCCTATCTCATCCATAGCCAGTAGGCTAAAGGCAACTGAGCCATTCCCTTCCTTATCGAGCCATACTGTATGTTGGAGTCCTTATAAGATAGTATCCCAAAAGCAACTGGAACTTGAGTTTATAAATTTATAATTTTCAAAGCCAATCGAGATGTATATAACTACTGAATTAAATTTATCAGTGGCACATGTTTTTAATCCTAGTACTTGGGAGGCAGAAGCAGGTAGATCTTGAGGCCAGCCTGGTCTATAGAGTGAGTTCCAGGACAGCCAGGGCTACAAGGAGAAACACTGTCTTGGAAAACCAAAAATAAAGAAACAAAAAAGCAAACAAATAAATAAAGGAAAACAATAAAACTGGGACTGGATAGATGGTGCAGAGGTTAAGAGCACTTGTTGCTCTTGCGTAGAACCTGTATGATTCCCAGTACCCACATATTGCTTCATGGCTATCTGTAACTCCAATTCAAGGGGATCTCTCACTCTTCTGACTTCTGTAGGCACCACCAGTCATGCATACACACACACATGCAGGCAAAGCAAAGCAGTCATAAATAAATTTAAAAAACGTTAAAAAAGAAGAAAACTGTGGGGCTGGTGGGTTAACTGAGTTAGCTAGGTCATGTGTGGTGGCATCACTTAGAATCCCAGTGTTATGGAGGTTCCTGGAGTTTACTGAATTGTCTAGCACATAACCCACTTGCTTGGTGAGTTCCAGGCTGCTGAGAGACTTTGTCTCTCTCATTCACAAATTTAGGTGGATGGTACCTGAGAAAAGACACCCAGGGTTGTCTTCTTTCTCCACAAGTATGCACTTATAATTTTTTAGACCAGGCTGGTCTTGAACTTGTAGATCCTTCTCTTCTGAGAGCTGAAAGTAAAGGTATGAGCTACCATGCCTGGGCCTTTTAGGTTTATTTTTAAATTTAAGTGGTTAAATTTCTCTTTAAGAAATATATGTTTTTTTATTCTTTTTTTGAATTTATTTTATTATTTTATGTGTGTAAGTGTTTTGCCTGAATGTATGTCTGGGCATCCCTGGTTCCAGAGGAGGCCAGAAGAGGGGCATTGGGTCCTCTGGGACTGGAATTACAAAGGGTTGTAATCAGCTAAGTGGTTGCCAGGAAGGGAACCAAATTCTGGTTCTCTGGAAGAGCAGCAAGCAGTCTTAATCACTGAATCATCTCTCCAGCCCCTTTTATTTTATTTTAATTTATTTATTTTTGAGACAGGATCTCTACATAGCCCTGGTTAGCCTGGAACTTGCTATGTAGACTAGGCTGGCAGTGAACTCAAAGAGATCTTAGTGTTGGGATTACAGTTATATGTCATCATGCCAGTCAGACTGTAGTCATTCTGAATCTTTATTTTTCTTCTAAACTTTAATTTTCTTTGTTTGGTTTTTACCAGGTTGCTATCCAAATGAATTGCATCATATTTTGTTTGAAAACAAAAAACAAAACAAAACAAAACAAAAAAACAAAACAAGAAAACTTTGAATAACTAAGATTTTGCCAGGTACAGGAAGAGAATTCAAGTGACCTGAGTAATCAAGAAATCATGAAAAATGCAGAGCATAATAGTGAAGTTGAATGAGGGAAGATTGTGAAAAAGAGGAGATGAGGCCAGAAAGATAGTCTGAATTTTGGAGTTCTTTTTAGAATAATAAAAAGTTTGCCTTTATTCTTTAAACATCGGGGAAGTCATCATATGTCTTTTAAAGGAAATAAATGGCACAATCACATTGATTTTGGTTAGCAGCAATATGAAGGATGTGAAGAAAAGGGGGAAATGGGACTGGTAAACCATCTGCAAAATCATTGCAGTTCTAGGCTCTTAGTCTTCATGGGTGACTTTCATTTATTTGCCCCTCCCACTACTGAAGATAGGTTCTTATATTGTCCTGACTGACTGGCTGGCTATTTGCTACTTGAACTTTACTATGTCTGGCTTGACTTTCATGTATATTTCAGTGCAATTAATGTGGTTGGTAAACCTAGACTGAGCACATGGAATCTGGTGAGAGCAGTATGGATTCAGTATTTGCCTTCTGAAATCAAAAGGCTCAGGCTTTTTTTTTTTTTCTTCTTTGTGTGTCCCTGGCTGTCCTGGAATTCACTCTGTAGACAGGCTGGACTCAAATTCACAGAGATCTGCCTGCCTCTGCCTCCCGAGTACTGGTATTGAAGGTGTGTGCCATGACCGCCTGGCTCAGGCTTGTTTTGAACAGTATTTCTGCAGCACTCATTGCACTTGAATAGGGTAGTGGAAGGACTTAGAAACGCTTAAGACTGATAGGTTAAGTGTTAATTTGTGAGGTTAGTGTTGTGGTTGAATAGTACTGAGAACTGAATATACTCAGCTTGCTTTACTATCCCACCCTTTCAGATTCTAACATAGATAAGGCAATCTCCCTTGGTTTGTGCCAATATTTTTTTGTCCACTTGACAACATTGCATTTGTATTTTTTCATTCATTTGTCAACATAAAATTACATGAATGTTTTCTGCCTTGTGTTTGAAGGTAAGCAGCTGCTCCCTTTGTCCAGCAGTGTACACAGCAGTGTGGGGCAGGTAACTTGGCAGTCTGTAGGAGAAGCGTCAAACCTGGTTCGAATGAGAAACCAATCCCTTGGACAGTCTGCACCTTCCCTTACTGCTGGTTTGGTAAGTGTTTATTCAGTAAAGCTTGGGGTTGCTCTAGAAATAAATCCTTGATCCTCATTTATCACATTGATATTTGTTCTATTTTCATTTTTAGAATTTTAGTTAATTTCTCTGAGTGAATAAGATTGAAATTTTCATTAAATATATTCTGATCTCTTACTTTGTAACTTGTACTGATTACTTATTATCAGGAAAATAATTGTATGATTATAACTTTTGTTTTGTTTTTTGGAGACAAGGTTTCTTTATGTAGCCCTGACTGTTCTAGAATTCCCCTTGTAGATCAGGTTGGCCTTAAACTCCTGCCTCTGCCCCCTGAGTGCTGGGATCAAAGGTATGTGCCACCAACACTGGGTTGATATGTGGCCTTTATGATTGACTTTTTTTTTTCACTTCAAATGTTGGTTGTTTTTTTTTTTTTTTTTTTTTTTTAGATTTATTTATTATGTATACAATGTTCTGCCTGCATATATTCCTACACACCAGAAGAGGGCACCAGATCTCATTATAGATGGTTGTGAGCCACCATGTGGTTGCTGGGAATTGAACTCAGGACCTCTGGAAGAGCAGTCAGTGCTCTTAATCTCTGAGCCATCTCTCCAGCCCCGGTGTGAGATTTAAGAAAAAAAGAGGATGTAGATTTTAATAGGGGCAATGCTGCTGAAAAGAATAGTTTGAAAGAGCTGCCAGTGCTCTTAACCTCTGAGCCATCTCTTCAGCTCTCAAATGTCTTTTAAGGGTCATTCATATTGGATGTGTCAGTGTTTAATTTTTATTTCTAAATAATACTCTTTTGTATAGATATATCATTTTGTTTATCATTTGCTAGATATTTGGTCTGCTTCTACCTTTTGGCATATGAATAATGTTGCTGTGAAGTTGATGTATAGATTTTTATGCGAGCATGTGTTTTTATTTGTGTGTGTATTTGTGTCTGTCTCTGTGTGTCTGTGTATGGAATTACTGTTTATATGGTAACTATATTTAATCATTTGAAGAATTTTGGTTTCTTTACATTCTTGTCATTTTTAGCTGTCATTTTGACTTTAGGCCATTTTGACTCTGAGCCATCTCTCCAGCCCCTCGTTTATATTTTTTATTTATTTTTTATTTTTATTGGTTTTTTTGAGACAGGATTTCTCTGTGTAGCTTTGCGCCTTTCCTGGATCTCACTCTGTAGACCAGGCTGTCCTTGAACTCACAAAGATCCGCCTGCCTCTGCCTCCCGAGTGCTGGGATTAAAGGCATGCGCCACCATTGCAGGCCTCGTTTATATTTTTTAAATGTGGATATCTGTTTGTTCTAAAACTGTTGAAAAGGGGCTGGAGAGATGGCTCAGAGGTTAAGAGCACTGACTGCTCTTCCAGAGGTCCTGAGTTCAATTCCCAGCAACCACATGGTGGTTCACAACCATCTGTAATGAGATCTGGCACCCTTTTCTGTATACATAATAAATAAATAAATCTAAAAAAAATGTTGAAAGTACTATTTTGTTTGTTTTTGTTTGCTTTTTCTGCTTATACTCTCTGTCTTTCAACCACTTCAGCCTATTTTCTCTCATGTAGACCAGGGTCACTGTGTAGCTGAGTGTGACCTTGAATTCCTGATCCTCCTGTATCTCTTTCCATGTGTTGGAATCACAGACTGGATTTTATGTGATGCAGGAGATGGAATTCAATCTTCATGCATCCTAGGCTTGCATTCAATATTAACTAAGCTACTTTCTCCCACAGGACTGTCCTTTTTTGCTGAATTACTTTGCGCCTCTATTTAAAGATGATGTATTCTCAGCCTATTTCTATAACTTTATCCTGTCTCTATTGATGGCAGTATGATATTATTTATTAGAGCACTTAAGTAAGTCTTGATGTTATATATATAAGAAAGCTAGCTTTGTTCTTTTTCAAAGTTGATTTGTTTGTTCTGTTTCCTTTTTTTCATGTGATTTTAACTTTTTTTTTTTTTTAAATTTGCACCAGTCTCATATAGCTCAGGCTAATATCAAATTTGCTATGTAGCTGAGGATGACCTTGAACTTAATAATACTGCCTCTTGCATGCTTAGATTACACATGTGTACCACTACATCTACCTTATATTTTTATAATCAATTTGTTAATATCTATCAGAATGAAGGGAAGGAAGTCTGTAAGTTACCCCTGTGTTAATGTGACAGAAACACCCAATAAAACATGACAGGAGGAGAATTGCATTTTGGCTTATTGATTCAGAGAAATTTCATTCTGTCGTGGTGATTCTGAAGGCATTGTTGGAGGTTCAGTTCTTGGCGATAGGAACATGAGGTTGCAGCTTGTTTACATAGTAGTGGACTTGGAGGCAGAATCCTCAGTTGGAACCAGGGGTTGATAGAACCTTAGAAAGCCTACCTCTAGTGACCTATTTCTGCCAGTCTAGTCCTAGTAAGTAAAATAAGCCTGAGAGGAACATTTCAGATGAAAACCCTAACAGGATGGAAGGGAATGAGGTTGGATGGCTGCTGGGAATGGATAGGTATTTCATTAAACCAACAGGTTAATTAGGGGAAAATGGACATTTATCAGTCCATTAACATGATTGCTGTCTACAGTTATTTAAATATTTAACTTCTCTCAGTAACGTTTCATAATTTTTGATATGTCTCATGTATCTCTTATTGGATTTCTGTTTCATGAAAAACATAAGAATATGATTAACTGATTTTTTTTATCTGTGATTGCTTATAACTTGATGAGATTTCTGACTACTTATTGCATATTCATGTGTGTATCATGTACTGTGTGTGTGTGTGAAGGTCAGAGGACAAAAACTTTGTGGAGTTAGTTCTCTCCTTCCATCTTTACACAGATTCTAGGGGTGAAATTCAGGTTGCTAGCCAGGCTTGTACAATAAACACCTTGACCTGCTAAGCCATCCTGCTGGCTTAACGTACATTTTGTTTTTTTTGAGACAGGGGTTTCTCTGTGTAACAGCCCTGGCTGTCATGGAACTCTCTGTATAGACCAGGCTGGTCTCTAATTCACAGAGATCCACCTGTCTCTGCCTCCTGAGTGCTGGGATTAAAGGCCTGTGTTACCACTGCCTGGCTCCGATTTTTTTTTTTAATGGCAGAATTTTTTTTTTATTGTAATTCCATCACACTTTTATTTTTTAATTTCTTCGGTTGACTTCTCTTAGTTTTCATCTTCACTGGAAATGAACTACTTGAGCCAAGGGAATAAAATTGCTCCTGGCAACAGAATTAATGATTTTTTTTTCAAGAGGCTCAAAACTCAAACAAGAAATGGTCTTTTAGTGTATGAGCATTTTGAGGATAAAGTAAACTGCCTTTCTAGGAAGACAGTGAATGAAATATGATTTTACATTTGTTTACTTAACATTTTATTTTGAAATAATTGTAGTCTCACAGGAAAAATAGAATATTGAGGACTGGAGAGAGGTGGCTCAGTGTTTAAGAGCACTTGTTCTTACAGTCAGTTCTCAGTGCTCATATTAGGTGACTAGATTGCTTGCAGCTCTAGCTTCAGGGTATCTAACACCCTCTTCTGGCCTTCCTGGCACCTGCACACATAAAATACACACGGATACCCATTTACACCAGAAATAAAAATAAAACAAATCTTAAAAAAAATAGAATATAGAGAATACGGTGATTCCACTTTTTCTAGTGATGTCACTTAGCAAGCAGTACAATGTCAAAACCAGTCAATAAACATTAAATCTCTCTCTGTCTCTCTCTGTCTCTCTCTGTCTCTCTCTGTCTCTGTCTCTCTCTCTCTCTCTCTCTCTCTCACACACACACACACACACACTGATATATAGGCATACATATTTTAACTTTTCATTGTATTCATTCATGTATGTATGTATGTATATATTTATTTATTCGTATATGTGAATGTGTGCATGCCACCGTGTTTGGTGGTGAAAGGACAACTTATAGGAGTTAGTTCTTTTCTTACATGACGTGGACTCTGGGGATCAAATTCAGGTTGGCAGCAAGTGCCTTAATTTGCTAAGACAGCCTCAGTGTGTGTGTTTGTGTGTTCATTTGTGTTCATGTATGCTATAGCAACTTGGGGAGGTCACAGGCCAACTTTGTGGAGTTGCTTCTCTTTTTTCCACCTTTACATGGGTTTTCAAGGACTGAACTCCGGTTTTCAATCTTTCCAAGATGCAAATACCTGTTCCTGCTAAACAATCCCACTGGCTCTGTTAGTATGTATATATTTTTTGAGACAAAGTTTCATGTAGTCTTGAGCTTGCTATGAAGCCAAGGAAGACCTTGAACTTCTGAACTTCCCTCTTTCACCTCTTGACTCCTTACCAGGTTTATACTACAATAGTTTTGATTGCTGATGTTACTTCATACTTGACTTTTGATAGGCTTGTTTTTGTGTGTTTTCATTGTATTAGTTACTTTTCTATTGCTGTGGGCAAAGGTAACTTATAGAAGAAAGAGTTTATTTTGGTTTATGGTTCCAGGTTAGAGTCCATAATGCCAAGACAGCCTGGCAGCAGGCAGTCGACATGGTAGTAGAGCTTACATCTTAAACCACACACACACACACAGCAATGACAGCAGAGAGAGTCAACTAGAAATGGTGGGAGTTCTTAAACTCTCAAACCCTCCTGCATTGACACACTTCTGTTAACAAGGCTGCACTTCCTAAACCTCCCTAAACAGTGCCACCAACAGGGACCAAGTGTTCAAATAAATGGTAATGGGGGACATGCTCATCCTAACCATGACACAGGTGTGGATTCATCTCCTGAGTATGTTTGTCTACTGACCACCAACAGTCAATACAACTGGTTCATCATTACAGAGGAATGTCCTTAATGTAACACCTCTGTACTTGTCCTGTACTTATGCCCTTACAACAAAATCTAATCTGTTTTTGTTCTCCATGAGACTATTATATAAGTGGAGCTCTGTACTGAATAATCTTTTGAAGATGATTTTTACCTAAGCAGAGTGCTTTTGAGTACCATTAAAGTTGT